AAATAAAAAAATATACGAAATTTCAAAATTTGAATTGCAGTATGAATGGGTGTGTTACTGCAATTCAATCAAATTATTCCGAAACCAATATTTTACACTAACAAAGAAACAACTTGCCAAATGAATTCCACAATATGCTACAAAACATGTATAAAACGATACCACTGGTTTCATGCATCAAGGTAATGCACGAAAAATCAATAACCAATTAAAACAAGATTCATTTCACGTCGTATAAAATCACACACCTAAAACCCAAAACTGTTGCCTGTTTTATTTAACCCCAAAGCTGAAAAAAAGAGAAACCACGTCCTTTTTATTCCCATAGTTATTTATGTTGGCCACGAACGTGTCCTGACTGTTTTAGAAAAGTCAACGCTACAAAATTTCGCATTCTGAGGCTTTTTGCATAATTTAAAACGAGATCCTGGTCGATATTTCTGTTTATCCAGCGATCTGTATTTGCTTTTCCCGATACACGAATACTGCTACTCAAATGTTTTTGTTTTTTTGTTTGCATTTGCACCCAATCTGGCTAAGCTTTCAGATATGGCTGCTTGTTGATTTGGCTATTTACGCATTCAAAGTTGGTAACTCATTAGATTTGTTGAAAGGTTAACTGACTGATAATTTTTTTTGTATAATCCATGACATGATTATTCACAGAGAACCTCAAATAGGAGATATATTATCTAGTAAAAACCGGAAAACCAGGCAGATGATGATCAATGGATCACTATAAAATAGTGAAAGTGCTGATTTTAATTATAAAATCGCAACCTGCACAAATGACATTGAAAAATTCAATCTGGGCACAAGAAACCAAAAAAAAGATATGCTGGTAAGCCACCTAGATAGAGAAACCCAATACTGTCTGAACACCTTCTTCAAAAAACCTAAACAGGCGAAAAGATAAGATGGCAGAACCAAAAATGAGATCGATTCCATTCTCTCACAACAACAGAAAAATCTGTGTGAACGTATAATTACTAAATAAATTGGTCACAAACAGCGATCATAGGCTGGGAAGCGCATTTCTAAGCTTCAACCTGAAAATCGAAAGAAACAAATTCATTCGGACAGATAAGGTTTTTACTGGTGAAGACTTTGAGCAAAAAAACACGGACAATCGAAAAAAAATATATAGGAAGAACCAACCGAAACTTTGGATTAAATGGTTAACTAATGAACTCAGTCATAGAATTACATACAGCTAACATTTGTGTCGTGGCCAAGAAGATTTGTGTAAAATCAAGAAACAAAAAAGAGTAGAAAATACAACCAGGCACCCTGCAACATATAGAGCACAGTGATAGAACTCCCAGAGGCGAATCAGCCTATCGAGAACTAAATAAAAAAATTCATGGGGGTGTAAGAAAAGAAACTCGAACGTATAAAACTTACATTATCAAAAGCGCAATAGAGAGCAACGCAAATAAGAGGGTGTCAGGATCAAAACCATGCTCAGATCAAATACCAGATGACCGAAAAAAAAGACCAGCAGAAAAACATAAGCGGTGAGAAAATAATCTGCCTGATGATTGGGGTGTCGGATGACAGACAATTGTTGGATGAAAGCTGAAGTATTTGTGGATAACATAGAAAAATTATTTTTCAAAAACCTCGTGGAAGCAAATATTCAATTTCCAGTGATTTGTGTTTTTGTAGATGTCTATCAGCCCCATTCTGCAGAAATCCACAAATGATTTTGATAACGCTATATGCTCACGCTACGAGAAGTTTGCAACCTGCTGATGTTGCATGTTTTAAACCACTTAAGATCTTCTGAACAAAAGGCGTTCGTGGATCGAGGAAGGAAAATTCATGTTTGTTGTTGGGAAAGCCTCACTTTGCCCTAATTCTAGCAAAGGATATACCACAGCTCACGAGGAACAGTATCATTAGGGGCTTTCGAGAACATGAGTTGTATTCGTGGAACCTTGGTGCAAAAGATTTTAGTGTGTTAGAAAAAATGTTGTGAAAAAACGAATGGTACCTACTAGTTTTTCCAATATAGCCGAGGGATGCTTGAAACAAATATCATTCGAAGGGTTTGGTAACTTGATGGATTACAGAACAAACATCTCGAAAATAGGAGCTCAGATCACAAACTATATCATTATCTATAAATTTTGATAAAACCAAACAAACTAAAACATACGACCAATTTAGACTTAGAATACTCAAGTCTGTGTAAGCAACACAGGTCACTCCAGTGAGTGTAATAACACAGATTGATGAAGGCAAAGACTTCACTGAATTTAATATTTTGATTATTCCCATAGTTTTTGAAATACCATGTGAAACTGAAACCGACGCAGCAAATAAACAGTAGGATGAACATTATTCAAAATATAATATTATTCGAAAGTGTGAAAGACGGAAAGAAAATATTCGAAATTTCAAAGGAAATTAAATAATTTATTACCTAACGAAAATAACGTAGAAATTGGAAATGATAATTCCGGAAAATGGCAAGAAGTTTTCAATTTAGAAAAATAGTTTTGCAGTGATGGAGAGTACCACAACATGAAGTTTGGAAAGCAATAGAATGATCGGAATTGACGGAATGATAAAAAAATGTCAACCAAATGTTTAATTAAGAGCCAACATAATATGTAGAACGTTGCGTAGTTTCTTAGAGAACCCAGAATCTCTAGGAAGGAAAGGCAAAAAAAATTCAGGAATGAATAGTATCTCATGTTTTAGTTTCAGCCAACGGACTATCGGAAGCTTTTTCAGGAAAACATGAACATAAAAAATAATAAGCAAAAAAACGACCAAAAAAGCAGAGTAGATTTGGGTGAAAGTAAGAACGGCAGCGCAAGCTAACCTCTCTGCATAAAAACAATGATACAACAAGCAATGCACAAAAAAAAACCTTCAAAAAATAAATCCTTCTGGTTCGGACATTAAACGCATGGAAGAAAATAAGAATAAACGAACAAATAAATGTACAGTTGCGATCAGAAAAAAAGTAGTACAAAAATTATTAACCCCAACTTGAGCTCCCGGTGTAACATACAAAATTTTGACAGTAAATAAACATTTCAAAATGTTGAGTTCAGGCAATGACATATTCTAGGTTAAAAACGGGTGGAAAAATGCCAAAATAATGTCATCTGAAGCTTTCTAGGTCAAAAACTTATGAATTAAATTAATATATAATAGATCAGGAGATTTTGGAGATTTTTCTAGTACTACTTTTTTTTGATCGCAACTATACCTAAAGAAATGAGCCAAAATAAGATACTTGTTTGATAAGGATCCCATAGATATACCTGGAACATAGACGGTCAGATAGTGACAGATTTAGGTGCCCCATTTTCGCATACAAGCCTCGAAGAGGGTTGAAAAGTACATCGATGTTGAGTAGGATGAAGGTATTTTACGAGTGGCTCCTGGGGATAACAAATGGAAAATTCGATTTTACTTATGTTACCCTAAAATGTAATTTTCCATTTGCGACACTCAAGCTAATATGTTTTTTTGCTACCGACGTTGTAGATTTTAATCCTTCCGGTGGGCTTGTGTGGAATAATCGCCCAAAATCTCGATTTTTCCTTACAAGATTACGCCCTTATTTCAAACCTTCAGCCACCTGCACTGCAACACCCCCTTCTTTGTTTTACGAAACCAGGTTTAATTAATTGATTCTTTGGTGAACACGGCTTGCGAGAAAATATGGGCACCAGGACGTCTTCCATTTCTGTTAGGGAAAATCGAATTTTCCATACGTTATCCCCACGAGCCACTCGTAAAAATACCTTCATCCTACTCAAAATCGATGTACTTTTCAACCCTCTTCGAGGCTTGTATGCGAAAATGAGGCACCTAAATATGTCACTATCTGACGGTAACAGTATATTCTCAAAAGAGGCCACACCCCGTCCCCCGAAACACACTATATAGGTAAAAATGGATTTTGTTTTATTTGTACTTTCAATATAATGTCACTAAATGTCATCCTAATTCGCGAACTTATCAGTTTTTAATAAAAATGAAATGAAACAGACAAAAAATATTGCAAATCGTGATATTTGTGGACGGGCGAACAAGAATTTACTCGACAACAGTTACCGCAGTGGAACCTGTGGATTTTTAAAATTATTTTCGGATGCGGCTTGACAGCTATCACCAGAATTGATATGTAATAATTTTTGCAATGTTAACCAATACAATGGCAATTACCATACATAGGCGACCTGAGCGTAACGATTATTGAACACCTGTCATTTGAAAAATTAAAATCCCTTATTTTCAATCCGATTGTTCTTTGCCAAATATTTCTTTTCATTTGTTGCATATTCAACAGAAAGAAAAATCTTTTATCAACCCCTTTTACTGTTTTTCTGCAAAAGCCGTAGGTATTTTGTTTTTTTTTTGTTCTGTATAAAGTAGGTATTACGCCGAACGAGTTTTATTTATTTGACTTTTTTATGCAGACACAAAAGTCGAGAACATTTTCATTTGTTTTGCTAACATGTCTTAATGTCTACAAGTCTGACTAAAGAAAATTAATTTCACTCAAAAGCCAAGTAATATGCTTCAAATTAGAGAATTAGTTCTCTTTTCCTGAATAAATGTAGAACGTAACGTTGCTTTTATGTTACGCCATTTCACACCTAATTCTTGGTACTATTGCCCGAGAATATTAATTTCTTACTGCTTAATAAACTTACACTTGAAACAGCTAAAAATAGGTTCTTTGTCTTTACAAAATTAATAAATTGTATAGTTTTTCTGTCATTTTTTAATCAGAAACTAAAATATTATTATACCTTTCATTGTGTTTTCCGCTATTGAAAATCTCAAAAGCTCTATAGCGCACTTTTCGAAGCAATGCGCTTAAAAGCGCGCGAAATTACCTGTTAGCGCCAACAAAGTTTTTTTTTTCAAATTTATTTAAAATTGGAAAATCATACAATATCGTTTTAAAATCTTTGAAAAAGATCCACAGATTAAATATTTACTGAAAAGTTAAATTTTAATCAACTTACCAATTAGATTCCGCGTAAGCTGCAGCACTTTCAGAAAAAGACATAGCTTCCACTCACGTACGGGCGCTGACTGAAGCACAGCGCCGAGGCGCCGTGCGACGCCAGCGCCCGATTCCGTTGCGGTGATGCTAACAAATGCCAAGTCGGTCAATACCGACTTACCTACCTGTGCACATGTATAGCGGCGCTTACCGCCTACACTACAAGCATCGGATTTCTGATTTGCGAACACAAAATGGAGATTTTGGATATTCCGAGAAATTCTATTAGACCATCAGTGGGCTGGCTAAATCGACGGCTTGGATTAAGTAGAAGTGGGCTAAGCCCCTTTTCTCTGTGTGAGAAAATCCAAGGCAACTGTTGCGTTTCTATTCAACAGTTTAGATAGGACGTTGATGCTTAAATAAACTTGAATTACTTAAATTTACTCTTGTTTGATGACACCTGAGCCTGAGGTGACACCTCTCGAACAATAACGCCTTAGCTCGGCTGATATATATTTTATGTACCTAATTTGATCATGGAACACTTACAATATAAAATTCCTGAATGTCATAAATTTAAATTACCTACTTCATTTCATTCTCTTGGCGATACACGTATCATTTGTTTTATTTCTTTTGTATCTTTTGTTTGCATTCTTTAAACGGAATTGAACTGAATCTAAATGTTTTTACGCTTAATCATAACGCAACGATCAATGTTGTGGTTTTCATTTTGAAATAAAATTGTATAAGTTTTTAAATCTCGGCGGAAATCTAAGTACCAATTTTTCATTATATTTTACAGCATGTAAGAAATAAATGTTAACACAAGCTTTCCAGAAATCTTAACACTTTATTCAAGAGGAAACAATAAAATAAAACGTGTTAATTAACTAGTACTCGTGTGTCACTCACTATCTGTGTGATTTTTCTGGTGGTGTGTCATCGTCTTCCAGTTGCTGGTATCGATGCGGCACTTTGCCATATTTTCTTTAAGAATATCCTTGTAGCGTTTCTGTTGACCTAATTGATTTCGTTTTCCTTCTTTTAGTTGACTCTAGAGAATCTTTCGGGGAAAACATGCGGACGAGTTAACTTGACCAGCGAATTTAGTGCCTAATAATGAGGGCTTCCATGCTAGTTGTTTTGGTCTCCACTAAAACACTAATGCTCGTGCATCGGTATTGCCATTTAATCCGTAGGATCCTTCTTAGGCATCGCTGGTGGTATTTTCATATACCCTTTTTATGTGTCTTCTGTAGGTGGTAAATGTTTGGCAGCCATTTGTAAGTGTTGGTATTGCAGCTGCATTGTAGACGCGAAGTTTGGTCTCAGCGCTGATGTCGTGATTGTTGAAGACTATCTCTAGAAGTCGCCCGAACGCCGCACAACAAGCAATGTTGAATTTCAACGTCAATGGTTGTATTTGCTGACAGATGGATCCCAAAGTATGCGTAGTGTTCTACGATTTGCAATGAATAGTCCTCCATAGTTATATTTGGGGCCTGAGGATCAGTGCCCGATGCGGGTTTGTGCAGAATTTGCGTCTTGTGGAAGTTGACATTTAGGCCGGTTCTCCTGTATGCCTGGTTGATAATTACCTGAAGATCTTCCTCTGTATTGGCCGTCACGACGTTATCATCCGCATATTGAATTCAGTTCTTTATCGATGTCGTCGATACTTTTGTCTTTGTCTTGGCTCGTAATCTCTTTAGGTTGAACAAGCCCCCATCAAGTCTGTAAAGGATCTCCACTACTGGCCGCAGGTAACCTTCGAGAAGGTGAAATGTGGATCCTATAAATACAGAGAATAAAGTGAGTGCAATAACACAGTCCTGTTTAACGCCTGTAGTTATTTCAAAATGCTCTTCCTGTCCATCGTTACTTAGGACGGGACGGTTGCATTCATATTATCATGCAGCAGGCGGAGTAGTATCTGGATACTCTTTCGCGGACACCCAACCTTTGCCAATATCTTCCAAAGAGCTTTTATGTTGACCGAATCAAATGCTTTCACTAAATCCATGGAGGCCATGTATAAAGGGCGATTCTGTTCTCTGAATTTCTCTTGCACTGAAAATCATGTCAACTGTACCTTGGTTGGGTCTAAAGCCACACTGTTTATCTGAAAGTTTCTGTTCGGGAGTCCCCCCCGAGGAGCCGTGGGACCTTGACGCTGGTGGGGGGGCCCAACGGCCGCCTCTCCCCGAGCTTGCCTTGTGGGCTAGCGAGGGGCGGCAGTTGCTAAGGACGGCTCACAGGGCTTAATCCAAGTTGGAAGCTACCGTGCCAAGGGATGTATGATACCTGAGCCCCAATCAGGTATCGTGAACGATGCCTGCGGAAAACCAGGCGACATTCCGCAGTATTTAGCCTTACTGCGACATGTCGAGCTCTGTCGCAGCGGACCTTTATTTCCCTTGCCACTCGTGGAACTTACTATGGACCATTTATCAAAAAACAAAAAACCATCAACCTCTCCCCCCTCTACCCCCCCTACCACTCCTTCCAGCACTGTCACAGGCTCTGTGAAAACAGGTAATGCGATAGCTGTCCGGCCCCCCTCCGAGAGCTCTGCCCAAGCAGGGACCTCGGCGGCAACAACTCCCCCCGAGAGCTCTGCCCAACCAGGGATCTCGGCATCCACTTCATCGGAAGGACCGTCCACGGATGGCCCTTCCAAGGCAACAAATGTTGACGACCTCGCTGGCGCCCTTAACAGGGCTCGGCTTAATCGCCGATACATAAGCGGTGCGGAGAAGAAGAGAAGGAGGAAAGCTAGGGCTGCCGAAACGGCTCAGGGCTCTTCGGCCCCGGTTTCCTTGGCTGCCCCGGCTTCCACCCCCACGAGCGGGACCAGGGCTTCCACACAGGAGGAACAGGGTCCGCACGCGAAACGGCGAAGAACCCCAGGATCTACGCCTATCGAGCGTGCGAGCTGTGCCAAAAGGCCCAAAATCACCCAGGTAGCTGGGCCCAGCGCAAGCTACGCGCAATCGTTAGGCAGTGCACGACTGCAGCTAGCCGTAACCCGGGCGGAACAACCCGATACCGGTTTTACGGACGAGCAACTGCTCGATTTCATCGACGCAGTAACTGAGGCTCTGTTGCGCTCACCATCGGGCAGCAGCGGGTCTCAACTGCCGCAGTTCCTCCCCCTCCGGCTAGTCAGGAATCACATCCTGGTCACGGCCGCGAACCGTGAAAGTTTGGAGTGGCTCCGAAGGGAGCTCCCAAACATCACTCCCTGGGAGGGGGTCACGCTCGTCACAGTGGACCCCTCCATACTGCGTCTGCACCCGGCGATCCTACGGGTCCCTGGTAGAAGACACCAGTCTAACCAGGACACATTAAAGGTCCTGGAAAGTCAGAACCCTGGCCTCCCGTGCTCCCAATGGAGGGCATGGGAGCGCAAGGAGGTGGCTAAAAACCTCAGACTCGTGGTTGGGGTCGACGAAAAGTCGGCCAAAGACATAAGGGAGAGGGGTGGCTCGCTATTTTATAGCATCACCAGGGCCTCTATCTCCCTTATGGAGGGCAAAAAGGGCAGTGGCTCCCAGGCGGTCCCCCCTAAGGAGACCGACGGGGAAACTGCCAAAAACGAGGAGGCTACAGGCATCGACCAAGTGGCCTCCGACGCCGTGAAGCCAAGTGATGGGCCAGAGGAAATGCAGGAGGGCTCCTCCAGCTCCGAGGACTAAACTTGATCTTCCCCCACCCCTGCAAGCGGCCAACATCTGCAACATAAATTGTCAACCTCCGGTTCGATCGTTAGGCGACCGTGTATGATTTTAAACATATAATCTAATCATATTAAACATGCCAATAAAATTTCTACAGGCAAATTTACAGCATGGAAAAGCATCTTCTGCTGTCCTGTGCAAAAGGCTCAACGAGCTTGACATTTCCATTGCCCTGATCCAGGAACCCTGGATTTTCCGGGGCGGGGTGAGGGGCTTGGGCCTGGCGGGGGGCGCGCTATATTGCTGCGTACCCTGTGAGAACCCTCGCGCCTGCATCTTGACAAGGAACGTGCAATGCTTTCCCCTACCTAGTCTCTGCACCAGGGACCTGGCAGTTATTAAAGTTTCGCTGGGAAAGGAAGGAGTCAGGGAGGACCTTGTAGTCTGCTCTTTCTACTTTCTTATCGATATCGAATCCCTTCCTCCGGACGTCATTGCAGTCTCAAGGTACTGTGAAAGCACGGGGCTTCCTCTGCTGATAGGCTGCGACTCTAATTCGCACCACGGCCTATGGAGCTGCAGAGACGAGAACCCCAGGGGACGCTCTCTGGCTGGCTTCCTGAGCTCCAGCGGCTTGGAGGTCCTTAATTGGGGAAGCGTCCCTACCTTTTACTGTAACCGTGGCCAATCTGTGATTGACCTAACCATCTGTTCACCAAATATTGTGAACCTTTCTAAAGCATGGAAAGTGTCCCTGGAGGTCTCAATGTCAGACCACAGGCACATTCTCTTCGAGCTGAACAAAGACACCAGTTGCGACAACCCAGTCTTAAGAAATCCGAGGCACACCAAATGGGACCTCTTTTGGCAGGAGCTCACAGGTGGGCTCTCGGATATGCCGGCAAGGTATAACCTTCCAGCCGACATTGAGATTGGGATAAACAAACTGTCCAGCGCAACTCTCCGGCTATACGAGGGTAGCTGTCCACTAAGACGGAAACCCCAAAATGCAAAAAATGTCTGGTGTAACCACACTACGGAACTCCATCGGAACATCACGCGCCGGCTCTTGAGAAGGGCTGAACGCTCCAAACTCGTCGCCGACTAGGAAGCGTTTCACGCAGCCCAAAGGCAGTACAAAAAGGCGCTCAGGGATTCCAAAAGACAGAGCTGGAGGCAATACTGCGGGGATGTTGAAAAAATATCCCCAGCAGCTCGCCTCTGCAAGGCTCTGTCAAAGGGACCCGGTAGTAGAATAGGATCACTGTCTCTTCCGGACGGTGGCTTCACGACCAACGAACAGGAAACCCTGGAGGTCATGCTTCGCACGAACTTCCCGGGCTCCAGTTCAAACAACGCTGTCTTGGCCGGCGTTCGGGCCCCGATTAGCGCGGGGCACGACACCGCCAAAAAAGTAGTAAGTTATGAGAGGGTGATATGGGCGATTAAGTCCTTTCCCCCCTTTAAATCTCCTGGTAAGGATGGAATCCACCCTTGCCAGCTGCAAAACGCGTCGGATATCATC